GTATCAGCACTGTAACCCATGCAAGAGCTGTGGACCATTTTGGTAGAACTTGAATTATTTCTCAAAATACAGTTTGCAAGAGACTCCTGGGCACGCAGGCGTTTTGTAGGCTGGCTGCCAAAACTCTCTGTAGAGGCCAGTTTGAGTGGTTCAATCCAGTATGTGATTTGCTTAATGAAAGACACTGCTCCAGAAGATTTTGGCAGACGCAATCAGTTAAATTGCCAGGCAGTATTCATGTGATTACAAATGTTACTGATCACATTAGATACTTAATAAATCTCTCCAAAAAGATCACAGCTACTGTGTGGCTCTGAAGAAATTAAAATTGTGATACAGATTACTGTGTTTGCTGTGCACTGGACTATTGATACAATTGGGAACAAATACCTTCCTTAGACTGCCAAGCAGTCAGTGGTAACTATTAATTTCTATATAAAGCCATGACTGCTTGTTTGTAAATGTTTAGCTATGCATCACTGCAAAGTAGCTTCCTTTTCATGTTAGAGACACATTCTACCACAAATATATTCAAGAATTCGACTTCACCGACTTTCACAGATTTATGGCAATTCACACGTGCTGAGGGGTTGGCCTGAGAGTCCAAGGACAATTTTTGGCTTGAAATACCAGAAAAGCAAGGTGCTATCCTTACATAAAACCCATGAGCGAGACTTTGGCACTGTTTCTTCTGTTGACATTTCAGCAGATGCAATATCGCATACAGTAATAATAAAACACATCAAAGCACAAATGATCTAACTGAGCTGTACCTGTTAGGATAAAAATTGTTTTCCTTGCCCTGTGGCACAATTTGCACTCCGTATCTTCCTGTAATTTATTGAACAGCATTTTAAAAATGAATAAATGTCCATTGGCCAAATCCCAGTGCTCGTTTCAGTGTATTGCACGAAAGCAATCACACAGGCCTCTCTTTTCCGCTCTCAGGAGGAGGGTTTCTGTCTGCAAAAAAACATGAAATCAAAGAACTGAATATATCACTTTAGAAGAATATATAATTGATTAGACCTAATCCCTCTGCACAGCTGTAGTCAAGGTGCTTTCCTGAGTGAAAAATCATAGTTATTAGTGCTGGTTTTCATCCAGAAAAGGTGATGAAATAAGTATATTTGGAACTGAGATGCATGGAGAGTATTTTTATAGTTTAAATGTTTTCATTTTCACAGTTAACTTCTAGGGAGTAGGCTGTCAAAATTATTAAAGTGTCCTTTATAAATGCTGAGAAAAATTCCACTTTCAACTGCACTGCTCTTAATTCCTTCACAGTGATTGATGGCTTCCTGTTGACGATGTCTTCAGTACTGTATAATTTAATTGCACCAGATAGCATGTGCTGAGGAGCCAGTTTTGCTCTCAGTTACACTGGTGTTCTTCTAGAATAACTCTGAGTTCAATCCAGCTGTCAGTCTAACCTTGTTGTCTGAAACTCACAATCTTTCAGAGCAGATCTAGACTTGAGTTTGTGGCTCCTATTTTAACCTGAGTTAATTTACTGACAGTTGCCTTATTATCAACTCCATTTGGAGCCATGCCCCCAGAACTCCATGAAAAGCTTAAAAACAATTATCTATACACATAATTTAAAATTACGTGCTCTTGTTTTTGGAGCGTCTTAGTGGAAAAGCATTTCCAAGCTTTTTTCTCTGTTTCCAGGGAAAAAATTAACTTCAGATCCTCAAAGATATTTAAGTATCATTTATTTAATTGTGATCAAATAACTTAAATCTTTTGTGGGTCCTGGTCTCACTCTTTGAGAAACAAAGGCTTAATTTCTCAAATGCACCATAATTTCAAAAGCTGAGTCTCTTGTAAGACTCAAAATTGTTGGTGCAAGCAACTCACATTAGCAAGTGCAATCGTGACTGAAGAGAAACTTCTTCCTGAGTATATCTTGTGGTTTTCACCCTGTGGTCTGTGGCCCCTTAAGTAGTTTGTAGACTGACTTTGAAGAGTTTCTTGAGGGGAAAAAAAGTTACCAGGCTTAAATTCACCATGAATGGGTTTCCCATCTGCACTGGAAAAAAACATTAAAGGTTGAAAACCACTTGTTAACAAATTATCTAAAAGCTCTGTGAAACAACAAGGTCTTCATCCTGCTGCTGTTCCTCTGACATGATGCCTCCTGACAAATTAGAAAGAGTAAAGGGCTAATTAACAAAGACATACAGTTTCCAAAGGAGTAGCTGGGCACTTCTACCTGGGGACCTGCTCCACCAAGCTTTGCCTGGTTTGGCCAGCCGTACCTCTGTCCCCCAGCAGTTCCCACTCTCTACTACTCATTTCTCCTTCTCAGACTGCAAGTTTTTGCAGGGAGAGGCTGTTCCAGAACTGCTTTTCCCTCCTCTCCACAGCCCTCTATCCTTTCCAACTCAAACTTTTGACATCCACCTTTGCATTGAAGAGGACTTGTTCACTTTCCTTGTCTGCTTTCACTTTTCAGCTTAGTGCATCGGCAAGCATTATTAAACACTGCTCCTCACTTGTACAATGCAATCCTGGATGAGTGAATGCTCTCATTGTTGGGAGCCCAGTAGAAATCATAGAATCATCTTAACATCAAACAGGCTTATTGGATTTCACTGTAATGCCAACATGCTGTCGCTGTTACCACAAACCCTGCCTAGGCATCACTCATTACTATTTACAGGCAGGAAGAGCAGCTTTGGGAGCACTTAATTGTAAACTGAAAGACTATGAAAGAGAAGCAACAATTACAAAAATTAATTGCGGCCCTGTTGGCATTGGCTTAGGAAGTCCATGGTAAGAACAGTTCTGCACGGGGCTTGCACTTGTAACAACAACTTTCAAGACTCAGGAGTTGTTGAATGAAGTTATTTGTATGTAAAACTTGAGAAATTATAGTTGGTCAGCATAAGCCAAGCACCAACGGTTGAGTAAGTATATGGAGGCTGTACTTTTCAGAGAATAGAAGGTCACAGTGTGCCATTTGTAGGGCCCTGGCCATGGCATTTCATTTTAGTATCTCTGCAATATTCAATAATTTGCATTTAACTAAAGCATCTCTTCCAGAAAGGCCTTTGGAGTCTCATTCCAAAGGCTGGAAAAGATGGACAGCAATATAGCCTTTCTTTACTAGTAGTATTAAACTCCAACAGTTGTCAAAGGGTGGGTGATGTTCCAGATAATAACTCGTTACGTTTGTTTTGGTGGTGCACTGTTCCTGTGCTCCTTGTTCTGTAATAGTGAGAGCTGTCTGAATCAGTGCCTTGGCATCTCAGGCCTGTCCAGGTCCTCACAGGAACAGAAGCTTATCTTGCCGCGCTCTGGGGCCAGCTTCTCCCTTTATACTCTGCCTCACCTCTTACAAGACAGCATTGCTCTCTGATGGGTTTATTCTCACTCCACCCTCCAAATAGAATAGCCAACACAGATATGTCTGAATATCTGTGTAAGTGGGATTAAGGGATTGTGCTGCCTCTATTGCATTCAAAAAAATCTTTCCAGTGCAACTTAGACAGAAATTTAGTACCTCCTTTAACTTCCCATGTAAAGCCTGGCGACAGTGTAAGAACCAACACAGCTGCGATTGCACGTGGTCTTGCTGTGTCATGCGTAGGTACAAAACATTTCAGGGGAACCTAATCCAAACACGTGACACCCCGCTATGCACCAGAACAGCCCAGCACAGTTGTTGGATGTAAAGCCCCTCTCTTCAGAGCCTACCACTTAACAGTTATTTAGTATTACACTAGTGCATGGGAAACTTTTGCAATGTAACCCGTACTGCACTCAAGAGTTCTGCCCTAATCAGTTTGCTATTGATAGCTCAAGAAAGCTAAAGTCACTCCAACCTTATTGTGTGGGGCCCTACATGATTGCCCAAGGTCACAAGAAACCAAAGGCAAAGCAATATAATTGCCCTTCTGTGTTATAGTTTTGAGACACATAATTGATTTACATCTTTCTGGTTGACTCTGCTGTGAATGACAATTTGAGCGGAGCGTGACTTTAAAGGAACAAGGAGCCCTTCTCACCTACCAACAGAGATGGCACTGGCCAGAGGCACTGAGCGGGCACCCAAAGGAACTGGGAGATGTGGCTGCGATCTGGCTTCACTCCCCACAAGTTGCTTTACTGTCATGTTGCCAGTGTTAATGGAGTTCTTAGGGAAGGAGAGGTAGTACAAGACATACATGAGGGGGGCTTTATTAGAGCTGAGAGACCTCCTGCCCCTTGCAAACTTCAGACAGCACAGGAACCAATACGGTAAGTCCTACCCCAGTCAGTGTTTGTGCGTATTTATGAACCCACGTATGTATGCATTGCTAAAATCAGGGCACTTAACACACCCTCATTTATTGTTCATTGGGACCTCTGCAGCACACCACCAGCATGTGAAGTTGCAAAATGCCCTGTGTGCTGTCATAACTACCCGAGGAAATGTGCTTCCCCCTTTTTCAAGGAGTGTTGATCCATGAGTAAGGAATATATGTGCTTCCCTTTCCTCTCTGCCAGCCCTGCCTGCCCTCTTCTTGCTCTCCAGTTCACTTTCTGCTCCTGCCCAGTGAACAGTCGGTCTACAGCTCAGAACCAATGTTACGAGATAAAGAGTAAATCATCTTTCTTGTTCTTCTCTCCCTTCGCACATCTTCTTTCCTTCTCTATTTGATGCAGGGACTGTCTGGGGTAATTCTTTAGCCTGTTATGCAAGAAGTCTGACTAGACAATCTTTAATGAACCCCCCCAGCCTGTGAAAAATAATCTGTACTTGGTGCAATCCTATTTGCTGAAATGGAAGTGAGTCAGCAGAGATGTCATGTCTGCTGTACACAGACAGGCAGACCCGGCCACTTGGAGATAAAGGCTAAGTAAAAGCATTTCTATAGAAACACATACCCGTGCGTCTAGATTATACGCTGTCTTCTTTAAATCCTGCAACGCCCTCTGCATGAACTCAAACGCATGGCAGTCAACACAGGGACGACCTGGAAAAAGGTATAGAAGAAGACATCACTGTCACAGCATGAAATTTGGAGTGTGGCAGTACAGAGAGGGACTACCCTTGCAATGCCAGGAGAAAACCCATTTTGCCAGCCACCCACACCTGCATGTGTACAAAGTTCGGGCTGCCTGTGGACAGGGCTGTATCCATCCTTGTGCAAATGTGTAAGGACCAACAAAAACACAAGAGCATTTTGCTGCGTGTGCTTTTCTGAACGTAGCCCAGGCTTGATTCTGCCCGGTGCTGCATGCCTCTAGCTCCCAGCCTCTCCCCTTAAAATGGAAAACCTCAAAGCTTCTCAGACATGGGTTATTTCTCAACTGATACACTGGAAATAGCAGTTTGCAGTGGTTCAGAAATCAGACAGGCAGGTCTGTTTTTACAGGAGCTCTTACAGAGCAGCTTGGCAAGGGACAGTGCCAGATCTGTATTTGCTTCCTTTCACCTGCTGCTGTATTTTTTCTCTGCCAGGAACGCAAAGCATCCCACTGGCTCTGCAGCTGGTGCCAGTGTGTGTGCACAGAGGGGCAGGGCAGGGAAAAGGCAGGGAAGAGGAGGAGGAAGGGACCTGACAACTAAAATGGCTCACTTCTGGACCAGGGCATTTCTGCTCTGCCAGGATTCATGCTGCTCTCATCTCAGGCCCTTTTGTTCAGTCACAGAGTTAATGAAGTGTGGGTTTTCAGAAGAAGAAATTGCAGATACTGGAGGAGATGCAGGAGGAATGGGGAGAGAGGGCACTTTACATTGATCACAGAGGCCCCATGTTGTGGGGGGTGCTGAAATCCTTGTCCACTGGCAGCCACTTGTGCTGCTCTGACAAAGCAAAGAGGGTGCAAAGCTGCTGCTGAGGTAGCTGGGGAGCTGCCCGGAGCCAGAGAGCTGCCATGCAGCACCGCAGCACCCCCCACACCTGGCACCCTGCTGCCAACACGCACTTCTGAGTTGGGACTGATGGAAGGGAGCAGCCAGAGTGCTTCTCGGTCCTCAGCAAGCCTCTTAGGAGCTTTGACCTGTTCAGGAGGTGTTTCTATCCCACCCATCCTCCTCCATCTCCTCTCCATGCAGCTGACATCTCAGGGAGACCCAGGGATTTAATTCCAGGGATGTGAGGAGATGCAAAGTCCCCACCGCTATAAGAACAGCATCACTCACAAAGATTCTCTCCAGGCCTGAGAGGAGTAGCAACAGGATGGTTTTGAGCACATTTTAAAGACACTCAACCCCCTCCTGTTTTCAGTATTTCAGTAATTTAATTGTTTTCACTTCAGATCATGGATCAGAGCTCTTAGAAAGAACCTGCATCCTCAGTCTGCTGTCAGCAAATCCATCATTCACGTGGTGCCATGGCCTGCTCCCTCCCCTTGCTGTGGTCTTCTCAGAAAGCACCCTGCCCTGCCTCCACCTCGGTGAAGTGCTGCATACCCTGAAGTGCTTTTCACTTAAGTGTTCTCAAAATCCGAACTTGATGGAGAAAAAACAAACTTCAGGTCATAAACGAATGTCTCCTGCTCCGGCAGTGTGGAGAAAGCATCTTTGAGGAGAGCCATGAATTCCATAGACAATCCACTGCCTGCCACCCAGGAAGTCTTCCCAGGCTCTCATGAAGGCCATGGCTGTGTGGGATCATTCACTGGTATTTATGGCAGCCAAGTGCTCCTATGTGGACAGGGAGGTACTAGTGGAACAGCACAACCATGCCAAGTGGTTATTTCAGTTCAGCCACCTCTGTGAAAGCAGCCGCCGTGGCATCAAAGCAGCTTCTGCAGGAAAATGGTGGTTGCACAGAGGACACCTGCCCATGCAGGATCAGCACATGCGAAGCTTCTAACATGGCACTGCTCTTCAAAGCCACAGTGCAGATGCAGCCAGTTCCATCGCATAATGGGATATTCACTCTCTAATACGGTTTCCTGGGCTGTCCTCCTTGGTGGAGGGTCCTTCTCCAGGCACAGCTGTCTCTGGGTCAGGTTAGCACCCCTGCTTGTTGGGAGCTAGCAGCCCTGCAGCGCTGGCAGTGGGAAAGCTCGTGTGATTCCTCCAACCAGCTATATCCCGGGACGGGATGCGTCATTTTGACTAGCAGCAGCGCAGAGAGGACTCACTGAAGCAGCACCACTAGCAGACGAGAGGACAGCTGTACCTGGAAGGAGGTGACGAGCAGCTGGGGAGGTGGCTGGCTATAAACTCTCCCACCCATGCAGCCCTGCAGAGCACGCATCTGTTCAGCACTTTGGGGACTGAACTAGGGCAGTGCTGATCTCTCCATCAAGAATCTTGCACTAGCACAGAGCAACTTGAAGGCAGTTCCCCAAATAAAATAATAGGGGCAATATCCCACTACCTGGAAAGCCTATAGCTACAGTCAGGTTTTTACCAGCAGAGCTGCCCAAGTCCTGACTCTAGCCGGGCTTTTAATTTATTATACTAGCCAGGCTCTCACAGTAGGCAATAGCAGATACTTAAGGAAGATATAAGAATAAGCCTCTAGCAATGTTCTTCTAGCCTACCAAGAGGTTGGAGGATATCCTGAGTCTGGCTGGTGTTTCTACATCTGATAAGCCCTCCATGAATTTTTCTCACATTTAATTTGCCCCGTTGCTTCCTGAATCCATGTAAACTTTTGGCATCTATAGCACCCTGTGGCAACGAGTTCCATAGCTCAGCTATTCACTGTGTGAAGAAAATACCATTCTTGTCTGCTCTGAAGTTAACATCTGCTCGTTTCATTTCCTGCCTCTAATTTTTGCACTGGAAGAGACAGTTATTAAATATTCACCGTCTTTGTCCCACTTATGACTTTGCTGCTCTCCATCATTCCCTGATTCGGTGTCTCCTTTCCAGACTGAAGAGCTGGGCTGATAAGCTGGCCATCTAGCTGGACTCATTCTCTCTTCCTGCTCACAATATTTTCAGTAGAATGGCCATGGACATTTCCCCAAAGTAATGATGTCTAAGGGTCTGTTTTCACAAAGGTTTGTCCTTGGCTATGTGTTCCCACACTTTCCCTCGCTCACAGCAGGAGTGACCATGCAGTTGCTTGGATCGCTGATTTTTTTCTCCAGATGAGATCCTGAATGCCCAAGTTCTGTGGCCAGAACAAGAAACAGGGCAAGGACAGGAGGCCAGGTTATGGGGAAGAGAAGGGCAGAGGCAGCATAGGCTTACATCAGCTTAAAGCAATCGTGAAACCAAACCTTAAGTCACATCATAGCAAAGTACAGCAGAGTGCTGTTAATTCCTTGCTGACAGCTGGGAACAGACTATCATTCATAGGGAGACTTAACAGGTTTGTGGATTAACATAATGAGAATTATCAAGAGTCAGCTATAATTCTTTAAATGGGTCCTGTCAGCACGAAGACTGTATGTGTCTTTGTGTATTTGGGGAGAAGTGGGGGAGGATAAAATATGCTTCTTGGCTTCTTCTTGGTGAAAAACTGGAACCGAAAGCACTGTGGAAGTCTAATTTACTTTCCCTTGCATGCACATGGCGTTTACTCTTTGTATTTCATGCACCTTGGCTAATGAAAACAGACTGAAGAGCTTCTGTTCTTCGAATTCCACATTTCAGCTTTCACAGTGGGTGATCTGGACTATAAATGCAGTGGGAGGTTGGGGAAATTACTCAGGTTTTTTTAGTGGATTGCACTGAACTTTAAAGAAAATAATCTGCAAATGTTAGTAACACCACTTCATACCTGAACAGTCTTTTGCACATGCAAAGTGCTGTGTATAAAGTATAGGGACATGATTAATCACTGCTAATTAGCATTATTCATAAAAAGCTGGGCCTGGCTCTCTGACTGGCAGACAGTATGCCAAGTGGAGAGCAGGTGATGATACCCAGATATCGGTGCCACACACAGGGCAGGATCTCTCTGCAATGCTAAGAAGAACTTTGACTCACTCCCATGCTTCTCTGCTGTGACTCCTGCACCTCCCACACTTGCACAAGAGCATTGCTGCCCCTCTCCTGCTCGTGGTGCTGCGGGAGGGACACGTTTCTCCCACCAAGTGGGAGAGAAAGGCTGTAGTGCTGTGTGGTCCGTGAGGGATTGTTCCTGCTAAAGGCATATTCCCAGTCCCATGTCGCACACCTGGGAACAGAGAAAAGCATCGAGCACCGCACTGGTCTGCCCTGCAGAAGGACACTTAGTATGGTCCATGTACATCATATATCCCTGTCAAGAATGTGTACAGAGCCCCCTTTTTCTCCCCAGGTCATCCAGGATCACACAGCCACCATTTTACCTGGGCTGACAGTACGGACTTAAGTGCCAGCAACAGGGAAGGTGTGCGCATGTGCTGCAATAGCACTGCCCCCAAAATGGGTCAGTGCCCAGGAGGATCAGCTCCTTGATGAGAAATAGCCAGTGGAGCTGACATCAAGCAGGAAAAGATCCAGGAATGTCTGTACTAGATCACATCAAAGGTCTGCTGGCCCAGTGTCCTGTCTGCCATGAGCTACATCTCTTGTAGTACATTAAATGTGTCTAGGAGCATTCCCAGGCTTTAAGAGCAGCTGGCAAAGGACAACTCATCTCCGGAAAAGTAAACTCTGTCTTCCAGATAGGCAAATGCCCTCCCGTCATGGACAAAAGTGTGCCAGGGACAATCCTAGTCAGGTCCCCATGCCAGGGAACATCCATGGGCACTGGTTATAGATGTGACCTTCACAGCCAACAATGGATGCCCATGAATGTGCACAAGAACAGGGCAAGTATGGAGGGATGTGTCCCCAAAGACCCTCCCAGGCCTCAGGAATATGCTGAGCCAGCTCCTGAGCCAGAAGAACTGCTGCTGTATCTGACAGCCCTTTCTAAGATTTTTTTCTTTGAATTTACCCAATCAGTTCTGCAATCCCATGCAAACTTTTAGCATCCACAGTGTCCCGGAGGAGTTAACTATCAGGAAGAGCACTGATGGGCAAAGGAAAGTACCTGGAGCACTTAGCAGCTATGCAGCACTCTCTCAACAGGTGCCGATTAGAAGCATCCCGAGTTCCTTGTCACTTTAAAACTCTGTCCCTGCAGCAGCACAAAACAATTTACAATTCCTGATCAGCTGAGATCTTCCTCTTGGCCTGGCCTCAGACATAAATACCGTTATGCATTTGCAGCAATGCCACCAGCCCCCATTACTCAGGACAGAGTGGCATGTCTCTGCAGAAATACTGGCCACAGAAACACTCTGACCTGTCCTTCATTCCTCATCTCACATGCAGGAGTAAGACAAGACAAGGAATCTTTCTCAAGGGCTCTTCAGGGGACTTAGTAGCCTGGCCACAGGATATCAAAACCATGAGATAACTCCTTGAGATTGGGGTCAGAGACCCTGGCCAAGAGTTTTGTTCTACGGATAAAATGGGAGTTTCCGCTACACAAGCAGAAAAAGGAATCACCATATACTTTTTCCCAAAAATGTGTTGACTTGCCTCTGCTAACATAGACACACAAAGGGCACATATAATTTATTTGTCAAACATGATTTTCTCCTTAAGGACAAAAAATGGACTACTTGCCACAAAACTTATTAAAGTTAATTAACGCCTAGAAAACAGACACACAAAATAGAGATGAGGTCTGTTTTAGAACAGACCAAAACTTAGCACTAATAAAAAAAGAAGAGAATGGAAAAAGAAGGGAATTCAGCATTTAAGTCCTGTAGAGACAAATACATATAGATGTATTTGAAAACTAGTAATGGAATTATAGGAGAATAAAATGCAGTGACTAAATCAGGTCTTGTATTAAATATTTTGGTAGTCATGTAAAAAGATAGCTGTGGTACAAAGTAAGCATGACTAAGAAATACAGATTGGTTTGTATGCAATTACCTTCCTTTTTGTTTTTTCTCCTAGAGGATAATTTAAGTTTCTAATGAGTGGCTACTTCCCACTTGCTGTCATCAAAACACCCTGAGAGCATTGACTCCATCCCCTAATATCTTTGAACTATTGCCCCATTTTGGAGCTGAGAAAGTTTAACTCAAAATGACAGAGGAAGCTAATGTAGAGCTGTGATCCAAATTCAAGAGCTCCCAGCTCCACGGTGCGCTCAAGCCAGTCTGTCATATTTATTTATTTTTTAGGTTTGCAGAAGAGCAGCAGGATTTCAGAAATCTATATATGCTTTATAAATACACTGTTTGGATCAACTTCCCCTGTGTTAATCTATAGTAGTTACAAGAAAGTTGAACTTGAGCTATTGTTTCAACCAAATACTAAAATAAGCAAAATGTAATGCCCTAGCAGAAATAAGCACAAATTTCCTTCTAACAATATCCAGACTAGCAAGGACTTTATATGCATTGTGCCAAATCTGGAAACAAAACTCTCAAGAAGCAGATCTAAAAGACTACAACCAAAGAGCTTTAAAACAAGCTCCAACTACAATTACAGTATTCAGTTAGGGTTTTTTCCTAAATAACTACTAATCCTTTGCTTGCTTGCTGTTTTTATAAGCGCTGTTTTCATGTGCTTTGCTGACACGTTACAAATTCATGGTTAGTCCCTCACTAATCAGGCAATGCAACGTTCCCCCTGGAGCTTAAGGTCTGTGTGGCTGCTGTGGGTTAAGTGGAGGAAAGCAAGCAGGACACGGTGCAGCGGGAGGGCATGAGTGCGCACGGCAGGTACGTACTTTCTGCAGGAATGACACTCCCAGAGTCCTGGCCGGCCCCCACAAGCCTCACGCTTAGCAGGCCAACCACCGAGATGAACAGGATCGCCACACGCATCACGCTCCAGACAGACGGCAACGCCATTACTCTCATCAATAATTCAAGCTTTCTTCCCTTCCTGAAACGAGGAGAAATAGTGAAAATCAGCAGTTTGCTCCCAGCGCGCTCCCCACAAAGGAGTGCACGAGACATGATAAGCACAGACCCACGTGTATACACAAACCCACATGCACACATCACTGCAGTGACACGCCACGGGCTTGCGATGCACCCCAAGGACCAGTTTGCCAAGTACCTGATCTCTCTCTTCGCCTGTGCGCCAGACCCTTGGAGCAGCTGTAGCGAGCAGGCAAGGCTCCAGCAGCCGCTCTGAGCATGCGTCCCCCCTGCATCCCCCCTTCCTTGACTAGGGTCATTGCCATGGAGATTTGCTATAGCAACACTGAAAAATTGGAGCTGCCAAGTGGAGAAGAAGATTTAAAGGGACCACAATGTGGTGGATTGTCGCTGCTGTACTCCTCTGCCTCCGCTCCTTGAAGGCCATGTCCTCCCCTTGGCGAACGCTGGCTGCTGCCACCCACGTGAGAGAGTCTTAGGCAATTTTTGTGTTTGTTGCTTTTATTCCCAAAGGGACTGTGCTGAAATATGCAGCTCCCATCCCTTGCTTTAGCTGTAATTCACTTAAAGTGAGATTTCGTTCCAGGAGGTTCAAATGAGATGAAAACTCAAAAGTTTGCTTGGAAAAATAAAGATGTAGGGCCTGGTGATGGTGCCCTGGGCTCCGGGGCAGACTCCATTATGGGCTTTGTTTAACTACACTGAAAACGAAACCTTGTGGACAACAGCAACATTGGCACATGAACCAACCAGGAATATGGATCCTGCACAGCATCACACTAGCTAACCGTGGTAACAGCCCAGCCAAAACCTACGCACCGCAAAAGTTTAAGGATGCTCGCTTCAAGCTCAACTCTTGATCTGGGCTTTTGCTAATAGGCTGTGTCCCGACAAAGCTCAAGCATGAGCCCTCCTGGACAGGAGATCTACGTAAGGACCTGGCTGAAATCAAGCATTCAGAAAGTGGAGGTGATACCTTTTGGAAAAGAGAGAGAAAGGCTCTCTGTGTGTGGTTTGCCCCAGAGTGTGGTTAAAGACTCATCTTGCAACATATCTATTCAATTCATGGCTTTGTCCTTCTCTCCGGGGAGGATGCTCCACCTCCTCTCACCGGGGAGCCGGCTCCAGCCTTCCTGGTCTGTACAGAGTAACTAACCTGCCAGGCTGGGGAGGCATCAGCCTTCCTGGGCTGAGACGCAGTTTATCCCTGGCTTTCTTCAGCCCTAGGGACTGCCACCAGCAATGTACGCTGCTTCTATTTTACTTGTTCCTGTGGCTTCCTCAGAATTACCTCTCACATCCCTCATTTCAATGCTGATGCTTTTGGACCAGGTTAGTTTAAAAGGCATCTCAAAGGACTCCAGGATCTTGACCACTTTCTGGCAAAGTGGAATTGCCTTGTGCATGCAAGAGAGGACTTTGCAGGGGGGCAGCCCAGAGTAGTGGAAGCAATTCCTACAAGAATGACATGCTGAGCAAATTTTTAGCCCAAAGTGCAACTGAAACTCAACTTTCCTTGTGTGGAAGGTCCAAATGAAGATCTCGGTCAATGGGGTCTTCATAAGATGAGTCAGGGCACACATGTGCACCAAAATGGCTCCGCTGACTTTATGAGAAGCTGAGACTCCTAATCAAAGCTCTGAAGTTGGATGCCTGAGGTGAGGTTGTGTGAGTTTAACACTGTCTCTTCACAGGCCTCAGATGCCTGTTAAAGGAGCAGCTCCGTAAGAGCCAGGATATAATGGAACAACATTGTACAGTTTGACTATACACTCATCTAGGGCTGGTCACATAGTCTAGCCCTGATCCACAATTTTAAATAACACCAAATGGAAATTCTGGCACAAAATCCAAACCTTACACTTCCATTCACCCTGGCATATGTGTTTCTTGCGCATACACTCATTATGGTCCCATGGTCATATCATACTTTTCACACATCAGCTTCAAGAAAAGGATAGAAAGGAATTGCCTACAGATGCAATAACCTTTGATAAGGTGGAAAGCACGGTTTGTTCCAATATTTTTTCAAGGTATCAATATAGTCTTTTCTAAAATTGTAACTATTTTGTAAAATCTTTTTCACAATTGCTTGGTCTTTTCAGTAGGTAGGTAGAACAAGCAGTACAACCCACAATGAGGTAAGGAAAGGAATTTGACATCTCAGGGAGGAAGGGCAACCACAGAAGTGAGCAGAGGTGTTACCCATCTTAAACAACTGCAGGAAGTATAAAAGGGGATCGGAACAGAAAACTTGGGAAAGTCTGGAATAAAGAGAAGCTGAATGTCCTAAAATATGTCATTCCCAGGATGCCAAGACTCCAAGGATGCCTACACATGGTTTGGTGATATCTTGTTATTAGGGTCTATATATCATAGAATCATAGAATCATAGAATCATAGAATAGTTTGGGTTGGAAGGGACCTTTAAAGGTCATCTGGTCCAACTCCCCTGCAATGAGCAGGGACATCTTCCACTAGATCAGGTTGCTCAGAGCCCCGTCCAACCTGACCTTGAATGTTTCCAGGGATGGGGCATCTACCACCTCTCTGGGCAACCTGTGCCAGTGTTTCACCATCCTCATTGTAAAAAATTTCTTCCTTATATCTAGTCTAAATCTACCCTCCTTCAGTTTAAAACCATCACTCCTTGTCCTGTCACAACAGGCCCTACTAAAAAGTCTGTCCCCATCTTTCTTATAGGCCCCCTTTAAGTATTGAAAGAACGCACTAAGGTCTCCCTGAAGCCTTCCCTTCTGCAGGCTGAACAACCCCAACTCTCTCAGCCTGTCCTCATAGAAGAGGTGTCACAGCAAAGTTTTGCATAGTTGTATATGCATCCAGAAAAGCTTCTCTGTGAGAGGATGGACTGTCTTTGTCTTCGTTTCTGACTGCTCAACCACTCACTATCCAAACTTAACACTGTGATAGCACCACAGCAGGAGTCCTTGCTGAATTGGACTGCTGCCATCCAGACAGTACAACACCATTGAACCTGCTCCCACTTGTGACAGTGAGGGGGATCTGCAGTAGGGCGTGGAAGGTGTTATTTCTGTGTTACAGTACACTACTAAGCTCAAAACAATGTCCTTTTTTTTTAATTGTTTGGTGCCAATGTAAAACAATCAGACATTGCACTTGCAGAGGCAGGCCAGTTTTTGTGTCAAATGCCATGGTCTTTAAGAAGCATGAAAAAAGTTCCCAACTCCTCTTGCTGACAGAACTGCATGGTCCAAGATGCAGTTCTCAATTCACAGGGAACAGGAGCCAGTCTGCATGGAGAACTTCCAGAAATCTGTGTTGTTCTATCACCTCCAGCAAAGCTGAAGAAGAGAGAAGCATGAAAGCACTTGCATGAATTGCTTTGCTATTACATTCACTATCGCCTACCACTATGACTAAGGGATATCACTACTAAATTTACTTTGAAGGATGAGAAATTCCAAGGGATTCATAGGAGTCCATTTGCTGTCTGAAGGATGTCATAGTGAATCCCAGAAGGCTGTCAGAAATATTTACACTTTGTTTTCTTTTTCTACAGAGAATCCATACCTAATTATCATTTGCTAACAAAAGAAGAGTTTCCTCCAAAATAATCAGAAACATCCGGACATTTATTAGGAAGATGATTAGTAAGCATAGTCATCTGGTAGCTCCCTCAGAAAATCTCTTCTTAATGCCTAAGTGTTACAGGTATTGAAAGTTACATCTCTGCAGTGGAGGAAGAAAACATATATGCCTAGTTAGAATCACTAACATTAAAGGCCTGAGTTAAATATGTGTGCATAAAAGGAAGGTGCAGGCAAAGGTTCTAATTTTAGAACTCCATTATTATAGTCATGGGTACACATGGCAAATAGGGTGGTTAATCCCAGTCTAATATGAAGTGCTAAATCATTGCCTGCTAACATGGCCATAAGCCCTTTGTTGAACTGAAACAGAAGAAGAAAGCACAGAGACAGAAGAATCTGTGTCTGGTTACTATTACTTGAATAATAGAGTGGCAAGAGAATACAGGCACAACCCCAGAAAGGCCAAGAAGCAAAACCAGATGCAAATAGTGAGAAACATGAAGAATAGCAAGAAAGGATTCTTTAAACACATGGGGAGTGAGAAAGACAAAAACCAAGTGAAGAGTTTGTTCTCTGTTCAGCAGAAGGGGAAAAGTTAATCAAGTTGATGCCTAGAAAGTGATACAGGGTTTAGCATCTATTTTATCTACCAACCAAAATAAGGTGAACTAGTGAGCAGGAGGCTAACACAACTAATACCAGTGAACATGTTTTAGATAAGAACATTTAACAGAAATTTGCTTTGGTTACATATGCCTGTAGGTTTGTGCCAGGTCACTTTTCTGGGTTTCAGTCTGCCTAGAGCTCTCTTTTTACTCAGTGCTATCACTAGACCTACCTCAGGATATTTAAAGAAGAAACTAAAGCAACCACCATCAGCAATTATTGCTGAGATCTCAGGGAAGACGTGAGTTATACCAGAGTAGAACTGAGTATAAAGAGTAAATGCAGTGACTATCTTTAAAAGGGGGAAGAGAAATCGGAAAATGACACAGAAACCAATTTACTGTCAATCCCTGGGAATGTTTTAGAAGCAAAAATCCCACCGACAGTTTGTAAGCATTTGGAAAACAAGAAGTGGAGTTGCAAATAAGAGGTATTTGTCAAGAATCAAGTCAAACCAGTTTAGTTTCCTTCTGTGACATGGTAACAGGCTGGCAGGTAGGGACAAGCCAAATTTAATCAACTTCAGGAAGATTTCTGATGCTGTGTCACACAGCATTGTCAGAAGCAAATGAAGGCTCTGAGGCCAGCAACACTGGCTGGGTCACTACTGAGAGTTAGCAATGAGTCACTGTCACCATGGAAAGACATATATCACCTGGGGTCTGCAGAGACTCACTTAGGTCAAGGGTTATTCAGCATTTCATTAGTCAGCTGGATAACGAATAAGCAAAGTGGTTATTTAAGATGTAACATC